TTGTTCTGATTAAAAGAATAGGGTCCATGAGTGTGAGAGAAAGCAGCCGTATCTTTGACTGCTGGAAGTACCAAAGCTTAATTTCCTGTAAATTTATATGCTGTGTTTTGACATACCTGATAGCATACCTGTTTGTTCTCCTGCAGTTCCAGTGCTGTTTCCCCCAGTGTGGCCGGACTGCGGAGGTGAATGCTGAGCTGGTGCTTAGCTCTTTGTGAGCTCGTTGGCCTGCCATTGGGTCAAAGCTTAGAAAAGCTTCTTAGCAGCCTTTCCTGCAGTCTGTGTATTTCTTTGTTCAACAAGGGTTCAAAAAAAATCTGCACTCGTTTTGCGTATTGGGTCTTTTAAACTCTGACTTGAAACTAGCCACCAGATTGACAAGTGGAATGTGAATGGACAGTACAGTTTCCTGGAAAGGGGACTGACTAATACTGCAATTTACTGGTGAACTTGGCCTTGAAGCCTGTTACACTTGACAATGTGTATAGTATATTCTAACTGGGCTTGTATAAATAGGCCTCCCAATGCATGTCTCAAGAAGGGTGTGCATTGCCTATTTTTAATAAGAAATTTGCTAAGAAGGAGGGGGGGGGGGGGGAACTGGGCTAAAACTCTTCTAAGAATGAATTGCAAAATAAAGGTGGAAGAGGAACTTCCAGTGCATCAAACCCGCAGGGGAACTGTTTGGAACACTGTCTTAAAAGTGTTTCTGCGGCTTACTACATATTGTAGTATAGCTTTATTTTAAGCAGTTACTAAAGTAAATAGTTGTCTTGGTGACACTATTGCATTGTTTTAGTTTTCTCCTTCAGATCCCTCACATCTGTTTAAAAAGACCAGAGGCATAAAATGACCTTACTTCTCACTAGGCAGCACCTCAGCTCTGTTTGCTTGTTACTGTTTCTAAGCAATGAATAAATGGAGAAGGACATTTTTAATTTGGTACATGTGCTAGAGTAATGACCAGTCTCTTAAGTATTCTCAATATGGGAGTTTAAAGGTTAGATGTACTAGGAAAATATTTAATGTAAAGAATTTCAAAGCAGTCTTCTAACAGCTCTAGGTATCTGTCCCTTCAGGGAGTTGAAGTTCTGCTTATATATATTTAAGATATGAACTCAAATCTCACTCATTGAAGGAGATGAGCTGTATAAAATATCTGACACAAGGAATCTTTCAGGAAATAATTCAGTTAGGAAAGGCTGAAATGAAATTGGAAAAAATTACTATAATGAAAATGATAGGGTTTTTAACAGGACTTTATCTCCAAGTACTGTTCTGAGGGAATGCAGAAAACCATTTTGTAAGCAAACCCATCTATTAGAAATGCTAAATGCTCAGCATGTCTTTACAGTGACCTCTGGGGGAAGTCATGCAAGGTGTTGTGACAGGTTTCCTAAGGAATGTGCTCATGGTCAGGGTTAAACACTATGTTTTCTATGATGGCATCCAAGTTTGGGGAAGGATTAGCAGATATGTGTTATTGTAGTCGCTTGTATTAGTAAAGTAAACCCTACTGAATATGTTGTACTTAGTTCAGTGGCACAGATGATGTCTGACTGAATCTGCTTTCCGCTCTGTACTTGGTTTCTTCCAGAATCCTGTAAAACTTGAACTTGTGTATCCAAAAGCAGTGCCAAACATGTTTGTCTCCGAATGTCATATTCTTTAAATGGAAAAGTGGTAGAGGCAAAGCTAGTAAAAAATGAGAAGTGGGGGGAAAAACTGAGATAGCTTCATTATCTCCTTAAGGATGAAAGGGCTTGGATTAAGTGAAATAGTTGTAACTGATCTTGTGAAGCTAGCACTGATTTTCAGTGCAGAGGAAATGTGCTGACAGGGGGTGTCTTCCAGGGAAGGGAAAGCAGGTGGGAGGGTGAGGGTGAAGTCGTGCCTGCAGGTGTGTTAAAGAAGTTCAAAGCTCTGCTTCAGTTGCTTCATTAGACCTCTGATGACCTTCACTGTGATTATGTTTCTACTTAAAATGCTATGGTTGGTTATTCAACTTCCAGTAAATTGTGTAATAGTATAATTTGTATTTAATGAGTTATCCCTGATTCCTGTGGTGAACTGATTTGGGGAATGAGTCTGGCTAAAAATTCTTACTTCCCTCCTTCACAGTTTAACTTAATTGCACGCTGGGTCCCTGTGTGGCTCCCCAAGGCTCCATTGGGAGCCAAGGTTAACTGGAGAGAAGGATTGGGATGGGCAGAAAGGGAAGGAGTGGAGCAGAGTAGAACCATCCCATCTGTCCAGCTGCAGCTCCTCGGAGGAGCTTGCCTGTTTGTAAAACTAAGCAGGGGGCAAGCATATTTAAGAAGAATGTAGGCACTTAAGGGTTTTATTCCCAGCATGTAGTATGGAAGCCCGTACTTTTGATTACTGTGCCATATCCTTCTGTTGAGACAGAATTCTAACTTGACTCTCGCAGGTTTAAAGAATTCTATAGTCTAAATTAGTGGGTTTGCGGTGAATGGGGGCTGATGGCTTGTGAATTTAGCAGTGAAATACTTTATTTTTTTTTTTTGCCCAGGAGAAAAGCAACAATTCATGTTCATGTCTTAATTCCTTTCTGGAGACCAGAGTAAATTAATAACTAGCTTCCTGCTCAGGGCTCATTAGATTTTTAGCTGTATGCTCTGCAGCTCCTGTTCCTTTAGTATAGGCCTTAGGGTCTGCATAGCGCAGAACTTCCTCACTTTTTGTTAACTAATCCCTTGAATAGTTGTTTCAAATAACAGTTGTTCAGAAATGTTAATTCTGTTGCCACATGTGCTTTAGAGTGGGGCTTTGTTTCATTTGTTAAGTTATTAATAAATTGGAAGAAGATATAAAACTGATACCATTATATCACTCTAGTCTTCAGTTCTGGTTTTGACAGTTTCTGTTTGGAAGACCAGTTCTAAACCTCAGGCTGAGTTGGAATTTGTTCCTTGTGGCAGCCTTATGGCACAACTGTGCTGTAAAGCAGATTCTTGACCTGCTGCATAGAGAACAGCTTAACTATGCTGTTAGTATGTTGTGTGAAGAGTAAATATCTGCTTGACTAATAGCCATTTTTCCCCCCAGTAAGTTTACTGCAATGGTATGAGGAACTTGGATTAGAGGGCTGGATTTAATTTTGTTAGGGCTTCTACACTTTGTTAAATATGTAAATCAGGAGGCTTAATAGGACTAGGAATCTTTCCGAAAAGGAGGATTTTTTTATTATGTCTTTCTCAGAACTGCAAGCTGTCACAAACTAGTGTGAAGTATGATTTTTTTTTTTCCCTTTCTGTAATCTACATTATGAGCTTCATCTGTACTCACTGAAATAAGCACCAATCTTTCTCTGCAGTTTTTTTCTCCCTGCTCTTGAAGGGTTTGCTTTAAAACTGGAGAGCTTAGTTAGCATTTGGTACAGATGTGTAGAAATGATTTTTCTAAATATCTGGTTTACCTCATGTTTCTTCTGAACAGTTGAATGTTTCCTGTATTATTAGCAAACAACTTATCTTTGAGTGGCTTAGATATATGGGTAATTGAGATAAAGGGTGTCTAACCAATTATTACTTAGATACTTGACGTAGCGTGAATAAGTTTGGGTTTAGTGCAGTTCTGCAGTGAGGAGCATTGCTGTTTTAACTGAATTTAGAGTGCCTGTTTCTTTCCAGATTTCACAGAACATTCTACGCATCTATTGCAGTGAGTGACCAGCTTTCTTAATGGACCAAATGCTGTTAAAAATATCTCTACTCTAATTAATACTGTCAACACTTCTTAACAAAAATATGCAGTGCAGTTCTACTAATCACTTACTAACTGGAAATCTTTCTTCTCATTATAGATCATGTATAGCCTTTGGACCCAAGAATCGCTCAATTGGTGCTGCAGCTAAGAGCCAGGTGAGTGTGTAGTTTGGGTAAAAACAACTTCACTAGTCAAGAATCAGAATAGTAGAATGTATTTTTTTTTGGCACTGAAGATTACACATGTCTCTGAGCTGGTGTTCTAGTGTCTCTGTAACTGTAATGAACAGCTGAGCTTAATTCAGCTGTTCAGCATGTAGTGCTGCTTTGTCTTGGATAGAAATCTAAGGGTTGATTGTTGCACATAATGGAACATACAAAAAAAAATTTGACTCTTAAATTATGATAAATACTGATTTTTTTTTAGGTTGCAAATGTACATTCTAAAGCTAAGCAGTAGTGTTTCATCCTACTGTAGCTTGTGCCTGTGCCTTTTGAGAGCTTTTGATTATGTGACTACATTCTGTAGAATTCCACTAAGTGCCTAGTTTTGGCAGAAAGGGGACGTAATTGAATGTAAATATATATAGCTTTCTTGACTCTTTGTGGTTGAATTACAACCTAAAGATCTGTCTTGGGCGTTCTTGATCATACTTTGGGTTTCTGTTGGTGTAGGTAGGTAAATATGATTTAAGGACTGAGAAGAAGTTCAGCTGATTTGTCCTGCCTCTGACACTTGGGTCCTGCTGTATCATATCTTGTGTTGTTGTGAAACCCTTAAAAAACATTTGTTTTTTTGAAGTCCTCTACAGGAAGTGACTATTCAAACACTTGGTTTTTCTTAGCCTAAAATACCTAGAGATGTATGAAGATTCATTATCTAGAATACAAAAATGACTGGACACAACCATGTTATTCAAGAACAGAAGAACTGTACTAGAACTAAATACAGATGTTTTTTCTGGAATTGAGTGTCTACTTAGCTTAAAGAAATTCATTGATACAGAGATCCGGTAGAGATGAGGTATGTCCTGCAGAAACTAAACTTACAGAAAATCAAAACCAGGTTACTTAGGAAATAGACACTTGACTAAAGCTGAATCACAGGTAAATGCTATATGGTACAGTGCTTGTCTGCTTTGTCAGTTACCATGGTTTTTTCAGTATGTGCCTTGCTCTAATGTAAGTGAAAGAATTAAACAAGTTTACTTGCACTACATGAAAACAAGCTGCAGTGATTTTTCACTTCTCCATTTGCACTGATCTCTGCTGTTAATAAAAGACAATCTGCCTTTTGTCAGTTAAATCAAGCTGACAGTATCATCTTGGGGCCCTCCTGACTTTTTAAAGCTTCATGACAAGGTCCTTGAGCTGTTTTGTGAGAATATCTGTGTGTTGACTGTCACATGCATGTAGTGAACCTGAACTGGAGTTTACATCAATATGCTTGTTATGTTTGGGAAATTACGGGCTGCAACACAATAAAAAGGTAGGGTGGTAGGAAACAGGTAAATGGGAAAGACGCTTTGCTAACGTTTTTAGTGTCCTAGGCATACATTATGAAAATTGAGTGCTACTTTAATCAATTTTTGATAGAATCTTGGCTCAGTTTTCTAGCAGACATTTTATTTTAAATCTCAAATTCCTGTAGGTTACCTGAGCAATCAGAGGGAAGTTGCCTTCTAGCAACTGCCCTGATACTACTAAGATACAAATGACAAAAATATTCTGGTGAGAGAAGCATGAGAACAAAACTCTATCTTCTGTTTGAAATTCGTATGTTCCCCTGACACGTTGTATTAAAGATTTCTTTTCCTCTAGGTTATTTCAAATGCAAAGAATACAGTACAAAGTTTTAAAAGATTTCATGGTCGTGCATTCTCAGATCCCTTTGTTCAAGCTGAAAAAGCAAGCCTTGCCTATGAACTTGTCCAGCTGCCAACAGGTTCAACTGGCATCAAGGTAAGTCTGGCATATTTGAAAAAGAGCCAGAGGAGGAAACTGATAAAGCTTCCTTTTATCTCTATTTTGATTCCGCTTGCTGTAGTTTCTGTTCTGTTGTGAATGGAAGGCCTTAAATAGGGAATAAAAGGCTAATAATGCAGATGGTCTTTCCAGGTGAGGCTGATTTTTACAGTTATACAACTTCGCTGCCTTGCAAAACCAGTCCCACAAAAACTGTTTTAGCAGTGCTTTTTCTCTTTGCTTCATGGTGAATTTGGAAGACAAGCTACTTGACCAGTGTACTTATTTAGCTGCTGTCAAGGCACTGTGAGGGTGTAAGATGTCAGCTTAGTGCTTCAGATGAAATGGTAAAAATTTTTTCTTTTTCAGGAATGACTGAACTTCTGATTTGGATTTTAGCAATAACTAACTTCAAAACAGTGAGAGGAAGGCATCCTAGGCATTGTCTGACAATCATGATTAAAAAAAAAAATAATCTGTGTCCAGAGCAGCTTTGTGTATGTGAATTCTTAAATGCACATTCCAATGTTTATGTATTACCTTCTTGTGATTGCTGTGCACGAGGTAGGCTGTCAGAGAGAAGGTTGTATAGAGCTGCATTACTTGTTTTAAGCTTGCTTTTTAGTGAAGACTGTTTCTTGCATTCCTGATGTTTGTAGTGCATGGTTTTTACTGTAGCGTAATGTGTGCGTGCACAATTTTTATTTTAAGGTCATGTATATGGAAGAAGAAAGAAACTTTACTATTGAACAGGTGACAGGAATGCTTCTTACCAAATTAAAAGAGACTGCTGAGAATGCGCTTAAGAAGCCTGTAGTTGACTGTGTTGTTTCTGTAAGTATGCGATAGTAAGTAAGTCTTGTGTTTGGTACCATAAGCAGAAATGATTGCAGCATTAAATTGCCCATTAAATTTGAATATTCAGGTATCTGTCTTTCCTGTTTAAAGCTTAATCTTACTTGTATCTGTTCTTCAAAACCAAGCTTACTTCATTAATGGTAAAATGTCTTAAATTGCTGCTAATTAGCAGCATAAATACTGCTTGATACCTGTTTCTCATTCTTTGCTCCTAAGATGAGTGGCTTGTGAGACAGAATGGGAAGAGATTCACAAAATAACTCTTTCTTCATGTAATGTTTTCTTTGCTTTTTCTCTGTTGCAACTGAAGTGAACGCTACATTTGAAGGATGCCCCAGCTGTGCTCTGTACTGAGACTCTGTACATGCTGCTTGTAACTATTTGCTGAAGACGGCTCTTCTAAATGTTAATATTAGTTATTGGATCTTCTTGCAGGTTCCTTGTTTCTACACAGATGCAGAAAGGAGATCTGTGATGGATGCTACACAGATTGCTGGTCTCAACTGTCTGAGACTAATAAATGAAACAACTGCAGGTAATACCTTCTTTTCTCTCCCTCACTTAATACTGTAGTTTTATTAGATGGAAGGGCTTTTAATCAGTCAGTGATCCATGCCCCCTGGAATTACTGCTGGTTTTGTAAACTTAAATTAGATTAGTTGATCAACGTTTCTTAAGCTCTGGTCTGTTTTTTCCTTGCTTTACGGAGGCAACAAGATATTTCTTGAATATCTTGTTTTAATGAAGTTACTAGGAGGGGCTAATGTTGTTTAATGTTCTTCCATGTTCCTTTAGCACTGGGAATTTTGTTAAACAGAGATACCAATTTCCGTAGCTTGAAAAGTAAGATGAAGTGCTAACGCTGTTTACTGATGTACCATTTATTTCTTAAGGAATTACAAAACTGAATGTCCTAACTGTAATCTTTGACTCTTTCTGTATAGTTGCACTTGCATATGGGATCTATAAGCAAGACCTGCCTGCCTTGGAGGAGAAGCCACGGAATGTTGTTTTTGTGGATATGGGGCATTCTGCGTATCAAGTTTCTGTTTGTGCATTCAACAAAGGAAAACTGAAAGTAAACAATCTGTTATGCATCCATTTTGATTAGCAGTAGAAATACTCATCAGTACATACATGGACTATGACAGGCAAGCTTGCCTGCCTTTACATAAGCATGTCCAGACAGCTCAATTCATACTTTTAAAATTGCACTTTGCCTGGAGTTAAAAGTAGGTCAGAGAACTAAAAAGCTTTTGAGCAATATGTGGAGGAAGCAAACATGCCTTAATCAGCGTACTATGGCAAAGAATAGAAAACCTGGTTTAAATTGTTTATGCAGAAATTATCGTATCTGACTGGATGCTGCTTTCAAAAAATACTCCAGTCATGAGATCTAGTGTTAAAACAGGAATTCTTAGAATGGTGTAAGTGACAGGCATTTTTTTTTAACACTGACTGTGATGCTCCTGTAAAAGAGTAAAAATATTAATTACTTTAAGCTGCAAATGGAGGTTAAGCAAGTTACAGTGTATTTCTAAGCTTAAGTTGCCAAAGCATTACTGTGTTCCAGCAAATACCAATGTTTCTTAGTTGGCTTTTTCACAACTACAGTCTGGACTTCTGCAGTTCCAATAACTTTCTCTTAATCAGCTACAGAAACAAATTTTAAAGCATGGAGTACTGAAATGAAGAGAAGGCAAGAGTTCTGAAAACATTAGTTTTGTTGTAGTTCCATTTCCTGTTGTGAGGAGACATAACCTACTTTGTGTTTATCTCAGACTTGTCTTTTAAACTTTGAAACCGTAGAATTAGGGAAGGGATGCTTTTGAGTTTAGAATGGAGAGCTGCACAGCAAGGCAGTTAAAACAGTGTGGAGATCAAACCTAGTCTGAAGGTGTATTGAGAATAATGTGATACTTTACTACTGACTGTTCCTAAAAAAAAAAAAAAAAGAAAAATTAAAAAAAATTCACAGTATGTTTAAAGAGTAGAATCACCTGAGGTGGATGGGCTACAGATGTTCTCTGCAGACCATTCCTTCATCAAAAATGAGCACCTATTTGCAAGAGTTAACAACACTTATTCTCTTCATCTCTTATTTTTAGCTTGATATAAGCATGTTCCGCCCTTATGAGGCATCAGATATTAAACTGGGATATGATTCAAACTGATTGTGGCTAAGGAGAATTTGGAAACTCTGATGGTCTGCTTACAGTACAAGCTACTGAACAGATGGTGTTGCTGAGCCTTGCCTTATCTTCCTAAATTTCTTCTTAAAAAAAAAGTTGTCGCACCTCATAGGAAGGCTGGTTGCCCAAGGCTGCTTTTTTAGCATTTGAGATAGCAGATGTTTTTGATTGTGTTTTATTTCCTGGAGCTTGTAACAGCTGGATGTATGTGCTGCAATTCTTGTGAGAATTACCATTCACAAAGAGGTCTAATATTTGTGTAGCTGCCAGAATTCTCTGTGGTAACGGTGGTTCTTTCTCCAACAGCATTTTGAACGGATCTAATATCAGTTACAAAAGACACAACATCTCTTTAAGATGTGTACAACTGTTGCTGCAATTGCAATCAGCGTAAACTATCAGGTGTTAGTGATGCAATTGCTACTTAGATTGCTGTGAAATATAAGAGCATACCTTAATTGTTGCCAGCAGTGTCTGTGAAATGTGAAAGATGAGTATGGAACATAGCTTTATTGTTTGAGATAGGTTAGACTCCTAGACGAGGCTTATCAAAAGAAACTCTTTACTGGTGGTGACAAGGATCAGAATGAAAATGAACTATACTGGATTTTTGCTGTTGTGGTTACGCTAGTATAATTCTTCCTCTGTAGTAATGTTGTGATACTTACTTTGATTTAAAGTTGGACTATAATTGAAACAAAGAAATGCTTTAACATTAACTGTTAATTGGTTTGACCAAAGTAATGACAAATTGTACTATTACTGAAGAGTTCAATTTTTTCAAGGTTCTTGCTACATCATTTGACACAACACTTGGAGGCAGGAAGTTTGATGAGATGTTAGTCGAGTACTTTTGTGAAGAATTTGGAAAGAAATATAAACTAGACATAAAGTCAAAGATTCGTGCATTGTTGAGGCTATACCAGGAATGTGAAAAACTGAAAAAATTGATGAGCGCTAATGCCTCTGATCTCCCAATGAACATAGAATGCTTCATGAATGACATAGATGTCTCTGGAACAATGAACAGGTAATGTTTATACTTTTACAAAGGTAAGCTTTTGAGTGCCCTTCATTCAAGTTGCTTCAGTCAAGAAAGAATGTATGAAGTACCAGTACTAGTATGAAGTACCAGTTCTTGGGACTGGAAAGAGGTGGGAGTTGCAAGAACAACACGTGCAGGGGTGCTGCTCTGAATGATAATGTTTAGAGACTGGTCAGTGGCCTTGATTTGGGAGGGAGGGCTGTGGATGTTGCAGGTGTGCCTAGATTACTACAAACAAGTATGTCTGGGAGAATATACTAAATAAGTATAAAACCTAGGTTTGGGGTAGAGAAACCCCTGCAGTACATAGTTAAAATGGCATTCTTTCAGTTTTGGCGTACTGTTGTATTTGCAGCATTAAGTTGCTTATGGTATGCCATAGCTTTATTTATGGCTTCTTCCAACAGAAGTAAATTTTTAGAGATGTGTGATGGACTTCTTGCAAGAGTAGAACCACCCCTTCGCAGTGTACTGGAGCAAGCCAGTAAGTGTTATACGCATTCTGTATTCTGCGTACAGAAAATACATCTATAATGCAAGCTACCTTTGGGCCTTGACAGAAATTGGACAGATGGATTTAGCACAGCTAACAATTTCTTGCTTAGCAGTTACAAGCTTTTTAAAACTTCTTCATGCAAGCCAAGAGCTGAAATTCTTATTGCTTAGACTTGGAGAACAAGCTTAAAATAATGGTTGGTGTCCTGGTTTTGGCTGAGATAGAATTAATTTTCTTCCTAGTAGCTGGCATAGTGTTGTGTTTTGGATTTAGTATGAGAATAATGTTGATAACACACTGTTTTTATTTGTTGCTGAGTAGTGTTTATATTAAGTCAAGCACTTTTCAGTTTCTCATGTGCTGCCAGCAAGTAGGCTGGGGGTGCACAAGAAGTTGGGAGGGGACACAGCCAGGACAGCTGACCCAAGGGATATCCCATACCATATGACATCATGCTGAGCATATAACCTGGGGGGAAAAGCTGTCCGGGAGCTGCTGCTCAGGAGCTGGCTGGGCATTGGTTGGCAGATGGTGAACAATTGCATTGTGCATCACTTGTTTTGTATATTCTAATTCTTTTATCATTATTACTTTATTTTCCCTTACAATTCTGTCCTATTAAACTGCGTCTATCTCAACCCAAGAATTTTACTTCTCCCTCCCAACTCTCTTCCCCCATCCCACTGAGGGGCGGGGAGAGAGAGCAGCTGTGTGGTGTTTAGCTACCTGCTGGGTTAAACCATGATGGTTGATCTAGTAAGACTTTTAGTTTACAATGTTAGCATATTCATGTAAAACAGAAACACTTAATTTATGGAAACTAATGTCTGACTCCTTTCTAGAGTTAAAGAAGGAGGATATTTATGCAGTAGAGATAGTTGGCGGTACCACAAGAATCCCTGCTGTGAAAGACAAGATCAGTAAATTTTTTGGCAAAGAAGTTAGTACAACTCTGAATGCAGATGAGGCTGTTGCACGAGGCTGTGCACTGCAGGTAAAAAGTGCTGTTTGTCTTAGCTGTGAGTGGTGTTATTGAAATGCATAAATATTTGAGCCAGACTCCACAGGTATCATGAAGGATACTTCATGTGTGTCACAGAATGGATTCAAATAAGCTTCAGGAAAGCAGTTGGAAGAATGAGAATAGCAGCTTTAAGTGATTCCTTTGTGCTGTTTGTCTAAGCCAAGTCAGCGGGTCAGTGTAGCTTGTTGAAGTGAGACGTGTACTCTGCCGCTGTGGCTGGAAACTGGAAGTCTGATAAAGCTCATAGGACACTTTCTTTTCCAGGCTGTTTTGGGGGCCTAGGTTAAACAGGGGAAATACCTAATACCTTTTTTTCCAGCACTGCTGATAAACTTGTGATATGGCAGTTGCTTAATAAGCTTTCATTTCCATAGGTGTTATGTTCTTGCTAACGGAAATCTGTGTCCTGAGCTGGAATCAGTCACTGTTGAATGGCTTAAGCAGTAGTAAATACTCTGTAGTTACTAGTGCTACCCTCTCTTGAATGCACCTTAATTTTGCTATGATCACCTCCATTTTCTCTTCAAATGTTTAATGTGCACTTGCAGCTCTGTTCCATCAGTGATATGGAGTAGCTATTGGAATCTGCTTAAAGAGAATTTTGTGTTATGGTATGCAAAAAGCCTGGTACTGTGTCACTCTAAAAAGTAACTTTGAGATTTTCTGACTTCTTAGGTTGGCACTAAAAACAATTCAGTAGCATAACCATAGCAAACCAAACAACATGATGACTCTAAACTAAAACTTGTGTATTTCTGCTTTCAGAGTCAACAGATCATGTAACCTTCCTTTTCAGGAAGCTGTCATAATGAGCTTCCAGTGCTTATTATGCAAATCCCAAGTCCATCAGTATTAATGTCCCTTAACCTAGAATAAAACTATATATAAAGCAGCATAAATAGCTACTTGCTGAGTTAAATTACTATTCACCTGAAGTTTGAATGTTTGTAATATGGCTCTTGTGCTTTTTCAGTGTGCTATTTTATCCCCGGCTTTCAAAGTGAGAGAATTTTCTATCACAGATTTGATACCGTATCCTATTTCTTTACGATGGAATTCGCCAGCGGAGGAAGGGTTAAGGTAAAAAAAGTTCAGTCTTCTTGCATGACTATGTATGGCTTAACTAAATGATGACAACTAGATTAAATAACACTTTTAGAAGAGTTCAAATTTAACAAATCAAACTCAGATACTTTTTCTCAAGTTCATGACAGTAGAAAACAAACAAGGATGAGATGCAGTTTAGCACTTCCTACATGTCAATTGGTCTTATTTAACCTAAAAGGTTAGGGCAGTGTTTTGTCATTTCTTTAAGAAGTTTTTCCTTAAGGTATAGGAGTATCTGGAAGAGTTTTATCAGCTGCATACTGAACAAATGCTCTGTTTTCTCTTACAGTGACTGTGAGGTCTTTCCCAAGAACCATGCTGCTCCATTTTCTAAGGTCCTCACATTCTACAGAAAGGAACCTTTTACTCTTGAGGCATACTACAGTTCTCCCAAGGAGTTGCCTTACCCAGATCCTGCTATAGGTTAAGATCATTCTGTAGCTTTAAGCTTTATTAGTACATGTACATGTTTCAGGACTTCTTTCTGTATAATTATACAGTCTGGAAAGTGCGACCTACTACAAATACTGTAGGGACAGATTTCCAAAATCATGGATCCACAGTAAAATGAGTGGAGTAACATGAAGTTTATGGACAAATAGACTAAATAAAAAGCATGCTAATGTTCGAGCAAACCTGAAAGGGGCATACTGAGAATTGTGCAGTCTTACTTTGATACAGGGAACACTTGCAGCATACCCTAGAGAATTTCTAATAACTGTGTATCTTAGCATTGCTGAGTAAAAAATTGAATTGTTTGACTTGAGTAGGATTTTATATCATCTGAGTGCATTGTAGTGATCTGTTGTCAGCAACAGTCAGATTTTACTTTACGTTCAGTGATTAATTTAATCAAATGGTATGTTTTTTCTCTCTGGGATTGTTTAGCTCATTTCTTGGTTCAGAAGGTCACTCCTCAAACAGATGGATCCAGTTCAAAAGTGAAAGTCAAAGTTAGAGTTAATATCCATGGTATCTTCAGTGTTTCAAGTGCATCTTTAGTGGAGGTTCATAAATCTGATGAGAATGAAGAGCCTATGGAAACAGATCAGCATGCAAAAGAGGAAGAGGTAATAGACTTCATTGCCCTTGGCTACTTAAAAAATTGATGAAGCACAATTGGCCAAGTTCTGGGAAGGTTATAAGACTTGTGTAAGGATTTAGTAGATGTGTCCAGCAACTAAAATAAGAAGAAATGATTAAATACTAATTGAAGTATGTTATACCAGTGACAGATCTCTTGGAACCAGGACCGTGATGTATAGATGAAATTCTTAATCATAGAGCTGTTGCTTGCCTAAGCAAAGTCTAAAGCTTGCCATTTCTGCCTTGAGACTCTCCTTCAGTTTTCATTCTGTTTCTTTAGCCTAGAGAGCATTAGGTGTAAGTGAAGTGATCAGCCTAGGAACTGAAGCAATGATCTGCATATGCATTGTTTAATATGTCAAATTGGATCTCTCTATGAATTTCAGAAGATGCAAGTAGACCAGGAAGAGCAACAAAAGACTGAAGAACAACAGCAGGCCCAACCTGAAAACAAGGCAGAATCTGAAGAAATGGAGGTAACATGAACGTTTGAGACTTCTGTTTTCTTACAGGATACTTCTGGAAGATTCATGAGAATATGTAGTGTGTGAGTGTATCTGCTGCCTTTGTCATAGCTCTGGAAGCCAAACTTTTTATTTGAATATATTGATAGTCTGTATTGTGATTAGAGCTTTAGGAGTACAGAAATGGCATGGAGAATTGCAGAGCTGTCAGGTGACCTGGTACTGAGGAAATGGGTGAACTGTCCTGTTTATGGAAGAAATAATCATTTAGTTTTCAATAACTTAAATACTGGAAAAGTGTTCTACTGTAAGCACCGTCACCCCCATAAATATAGTCACTGTGCACAGAAAAGGTCAGTAGTTGCATTAATTACCTCTGACTTCAGCAGCTGAAGTGTCAAAATGTCAGGTAGCATGTATTCTGATGTTGAGGAGCATTAACTCAGTATTACTTCTGCTATTACAAGTCTTGAATACTCAACTTGAACTGACTGGTGATGCTGTTTTTCCTTTGAATATATTTCTTTAATGCAGACTTCTCAGGTTGACTCAAAAGACAAGAAAGTGGATCAACCTCCTCAAGCCAAGAAGGCTAAAGTAAAGACTACTACAGTGGACCTTCCCATTGAGAACCAGTTGGTGTGGCAGATAGGGAAAGCTATGCTGAACTTATTCATTGAGAATGAGGTAAACTCTTACTTGCCCAAGCTAAAAACTTCACTAGTTGATCTCCAGAGGTTTTGCTGTTCATTAAAAGTGATTAACGGTTAAGGGTGATAAAGGAATAACGAAAAGGAAAGAAACATGCAGGTTTTTCTGAGGTGAACAACAGTGCCTAATGGAGGCAAAACATATTCTTCCTGTTAAATGGATGCTGTAACTCTTCCTGAAGAGGTGTTCTGCAGGGAAGCTAGCTCACAGGGTGGTTATTTCCAAAATCACCTGCAGTTACAACATACTCAATGGCTGCTACCATCAGGTTGAAGGTTCCTCAACTGGAACAAGATTGTTCCGTACCGTATTGGATATCCCCTCCCCAAACTGAAATTAGTTTTTATTCACGTGCTGTGTTTAGAACAGTTCTGTAAATCACAGTATTTCAAATTCTTTAGTTAAACATAAACCTTTCCTAACAAAGTATTCTGGCAACACATGTTAAATAACTAGCTTTTTAGCCAACTAATTTGACAACTTGTTCACAGGGTAAAATGATAATGCAGGATAAGCTAGAGAAAGAGAGAAATGATGCCAAGAATGCAGTGGAAGAATACGTGTATGATATGAGAGACAAACTCTGCGGTATTTATGAGAAATTTGTTAGTGAAGATGTAAGTATTGTTAGCTTGATTGTCTTCTAATATATTTTATTACAATGGACAGTTGTATTTTAATAACCTTTGACCTGTATTAAATACTATATTTACTTAGACTGTATTTTCAGACTTTAAATTTGGAGAAATAGCTTTTAACCTTTCTGGCTGTGAAGATAATCTTCTGAATGTGGCCCAAATACAAGCAGATGGTACCCGGGGTATACTGTGTGTTCTCTTCCAAAACAGTTGCAGCAATTAAGATATTATCAGGGCATGTGTTTTCAGACTGAAACAGGCTATGAGCACTTGCACAGTCATTTTAAGGCAACCTATTCTATTTTGGCTCTTTGTCAGTATTTAGGAATAATTTTAAGATTTAAAAAAAAAATAATCAAAGAACATCCCTACCCAGGAACAGAATAGGTGGGATTAGTCTGACCAAATGTGGGTACCTGTATCTGAACAGGCTGCCTAAAAATCTCTTGGTATTATTAATTGGCTTTCCCTGTTGTACTAAAGGAGCTTGGTGTGTAATTAATAGAATTCTAAGTGAGATGACTGCACTAGTCAGATAAATCACTCCAAACTCTTGGCTAGATCTGTGTTGATTATAACGGGAGCCTTGCCAGCAAAGTGTCTGCAGAGCCTCGGTACCTACATCAGAGCTAAAACTGGGACAAGTCAAGTGAGATTCATAGCACCTTTGCTAAAGATAAGTTTCACTCTGTTCTCAGACTTTCTCGTATAGTGATGATGAAAATGTAAGGGGAGGGGAAAAAAGGAGAAAGTAGGCTCTTATGTGACAGTATTGATCTAAACTATGGGTGTCATAGATGATTCTTCCTTAGTCCTGGTCTCCACCACAAAGCCATACTGAAGAATATTTTATTTTTTATTTTTCACTGAAATAGGATAAAGAGTTTCAGACAGAGTTCTTTACATTCTAAACATGTAACCCTTCCAGAAAGGTTCCAAGTATCCTTTAATACCATCTGCCATCTAATAGAATTATCTCACCCACCTATTTTGTATGGATTGCTTCAGGATCGAAATAGTTTTACACTGAAGCTGGAAGATACAGAAAATTGGCTTTATGAAGATGGTGAAGACCAACCCAAACAAATTTACATTGATAAATTGACAGAATTGAAGGTAAGTGGTTCTTACACTTCCATTGGAATTTACTGTGTCTAGAGAACTTGTTGAAGTGGGGAGCTGTCTTAGGTCTACTGATTCAGAGATTAGCACTGGTAACAAACTACGTAGTTTGCTTATTAAGTCTATGAGGAGCAGATCTCCAACAGACCTGTAACAGTACAGGGTTGAGGGAGACAGAGTCTTTCCTCTAAGTGGAGGGAAGAGTAAAAGTTCCAAGGAGTTCAGAAGTGTTGATGTACCCTGTCAAATCTTGCAGGATCATACTGTAATGCTACATGGTCTTTGATATCTGTTGTACTTTGTTTCAGACTCTGGGTCAACCTATTCAGGCAAGATTTCAAGAATCTGAGGAAAGACCAAAAGCATTTGAGGACTTAGGGAAGCAAATTCAACAGTACATGAAAACTGTTCATGCATTCAAAGCAAAGGTATTTCCAGACTTAATTTCTGGCAAATGTAAGGAAGTGGTACGAAACTTTTCTGAATTTTGAGTAAACAAAAAGCTGATGCAACCTCCTGGCTGGCTTGTGAGTTCTTGATATTTACCATATTTTCCAAAGTGTATGTTGGCTTGAAAACCTGACAGTCTTTTTTTAATCAGGTGTTGATTTCCTCATGGAGGGAAAATGCCAGCAGCAGTAGAACTTCAGTTCTCTGATTACAGAGCTGTGGGTGATCAGCTTAATTGTTTTGCTAGCTAGAACAGCTTTCTGGCTAAGTGGTCTTTCCAGTATTTGGAAGCTAAAAGTTTGAAGAAATAAGCATGCAGTTTACATGTTCAAAACAAATACCTGCACAGCTACTACCAATTTGGCTCTTTCAGGATGAACAGTATGACCATCTAGATGAAGCAGACGTAGCAAAAGTGGAGAGGAGTGCAAATGAAGCTATGGAGTGGATGAACAATAAACTTAATCTTCAGAACAAGAGAAGTCTTACTTTGGACCCAGTTATAAAAGCTAAAGACATTCAAGCTAAAACTAAAGTAAGTCTTTCCACATAGTTCGCTGTATTTCCATGAATCTTTCTGTTTTGGCCTCCTTGTGTGTGTTTGCAGGAGAACTGAGGTGAGAAATCTATAATAGAAGGACAGTGATTGGATATTAAGCTGTTAAACATGTACTGGGGAACATCAGCCCTCAACATCAGTCTGGTGGTGTCAAAAGTTAATCTGAGCAACAGGTTAAGGTACAACTGTTGGTAGATAAAAATATTTCTGACAGTGTCTTACTTCTGTGTTTTCTAGGAATTGACAAGTATTTGTAATCCTATAGTCGGAAAACCAAAACCCAAAGTTGAACTCCCCAAGGAGGAGCAGAAGCCGACTGAACCAAATGGACCAGTAGAAGGGCAGGGAGAAGCCAACAGTGGGCCCCAGGCTGCTGAGCAGAATGCTGCTGCCGCTGCCCCAGCAGCCACGGAGAAGAAGCTTCCCGAAATGGACATAGACTGAATTGCAGCTCTTGTTTATATTATTGCAAACTACAATAAAGCTTTAAGTTGTCAACTTTGTATGTTCTGAATACAACTGAAGCAAGTGACTACCACAGCACTTTTAGTAACTCTTGGAGAGGTTTGGTCAGTGCATCAAGTCAGAATGCTTAGGTAGCTAACTACTCAGTCAAATAAGCAGTATTTCTTGCTGTTACAATTGTATTTAGAAGTTTTGGTATTCTTACTAGATGTAGAGAAACAGCTGTAAGCTGATTCTCCATTTTTAATGTCCATCTTACTTTACAGTAGGGAGGTGGCAACATCTGAATGTTGACATGCTGTTGTTCACTTTCCTCTTGTGGATTGCAGCAGCAGGGTTTGTATAAAGTGCCCATTAACACTAGGGCTGCAGGAAGGTAAGGGGGGGAAGGGGTGCTCCTTCTAGAGCCTGAAGCATAGTCTTTCATTTGCTCATCTTCGTTTTAGTGTTAACGTGCTACTCTGGATTTATTTTGATTTGCAGTTCAACAGTTCATGGTTACACAAGGTTTGCAAAGCAGTGGGTAGTAGCATCAGTACAGTTCTTCCTTAGCTGCTGCCTTCCCATCACAGATAGGCAGCCCTGATTCACATTCGTTGAACCGGTATGTCGGGGATCAGACTATGAATGTGCACTCACACATGGAAGTGTATGTCTGGCAAATGCCCCAGCTAATTAGACCACGTAAACTTTCTGTCTCTAGTTAAATTAGCTGCTTCTAGAAAGAGTGAATACTTGTATTTCAGCTGCTTATACTGATAGTTGATTCTGACTTGTTCCTAACTTTCTCTGAAGGGAGTACGCTTGCTTCCACGAGGCCTTCATTGGGAATGCTTGGTTCTCTTGTTTTCTTTCTTTTCTCCAGGAAGAGGAAGATCTGACAGCTTTGGTGGTTTGTTTTTTTTTTTAATGAGCTTTATACAATGGTTTGCTTCTAGTACTGATTGTCATTAAACTTGCAAACATTAATTTGTATGTGTTAAAATCCAAAACTGAAGTACCCATTCAGATGTTGCAAGAAATAAATGCACTGGATTCCACTGGATCACTTTCTCCAGCTGTTGATTACAATGAAGAGAAAATGGTGTGGGGTAGGTGTCAGGGCTGTGTCCTTCGTTACTGGAGGCGTGCAAAGAGCTTGGAAGTGCTAAGGCTTTTCTTGCTGACGGGGGTGAAGTGTTTGATGGGCATCAATTCAAACCCACGTGAATGAAGTCGAGCATAATGAAGGGGGGGGGGGCTCTGTACCTGCGAAG